TGATGCGTCATAATCTTCATACTTTGCCAAAATTTGACCGATTATCGGTCATTATTATCACTGGGAGCGTTTTATCGCTTGGGAACTATGCTAAATGCCTACATGGACAATGAACGTGTTAATTATGCGTAAGTTATATGGTTGACAGTGATAGAGCAGGGAAATTACTTAACTATATCCATGTCATTTATCTTAATATATCGATTCCTGATTGTTTATCGACTCTGTGAAGATAAAACGATTCTGCTTTGTGTGAAAATTTCTTTTACTTCGTAGTTACTTGTGCTGTCTTATTTTTAGTTCGAGTCATCCCTAAAAGGTAGTTTATCACGTGAAAACTGATTAATAATCAAGGATAATTCCTTGGACGTTTTCCTTGTTACCAACCAGTAGGGGTAACTTAAATAAATGTTTTACATGGCAAATAAACTTAAATAAATGTTTTACATGGCAAACTTTCTTGGCACGTTCGTTGTTTATTTCATTTAAAGAAGGAACGCGGACGAAATAGGATAGTGGTGTTTTTGAGGCACTTGTCAGCAGTAGTTTGCAGGGTGTGTCTTTTCTAAAGGACCTGCGTGCGGGTAGAATTTGTCGGCTAACTTTCTCGGAAAGTTGTGCTGCCTGTGCTTCTTCTAGTAATTGACGCATCGTGAAACAACTCACGGGGACTTCCAATTTGTGTTCTGGTTTATTTGAATGAAACTATTTTGCGCAACATTTTTCCAGATTTATTTAACGAGCACGTTGCATCGAATTTATTATTGAACCTTCTTATTTTCTTATTTATGCAGAGGCTCATTTGGATCATTTTTCTTTTGGCATACTATTACTCCTAAATAACACACGTTTTGAATTTTTGCGTCGATCTCCTTTGGTTCTCAAAATTTTCGTTTAAATAAATCGCTGTTTTCCTTTTCTTTCTTTTTTTCTCAGTATCCAAAACAGAAGTATTATTCTTAATATGCGTTTATTTAGACTTACTTCTGAATCAATTCTTCCACGAAACTGTAAGGCATTCGCGCCAACTGTCAAAATTGTCTTACATATTTCGAAGAAAACAGCCGAACCGTGACACATATTCGAGCACGTAGCAGTCGGTTATAAAATACTTGAGGCGAGTTGGCAGAAAGTGGTTTATTTCTTTTGTATTCCGGAGACGTGAGCGTGTTTTATCGAGTTGTTGTGTTTCTGGCCAGTACTGCAAATTTTTTCGTTCTTTCAAAAGAGACTTCACAGCTATCCTGGCCAGGGGTACCGTAATTATAGCGGACACTAATTTAACGGGATTCTTTGTGTTAAACCTGTCCGCGAAACTTGACAGGACTCTTTACCCTTTGGTGGTCGAAATAGTGAAGAGCGCCGACAAGGAAACGGCCTTAAGTGTAGATTTATTTCTTCCGAATCTACGTTACACGTAAAATGTGTAATATAGATCTCGGAAAAGTATTAGAAAAATTAGCAATTTTTCGACCGACCGACTAATTTTTACAAATTGTTACATCCTTCGATCGATAAACAAGCTTATTGCTTTTACTGCCATGGTTGCCTATTGTTCTATCTGTCGTACTCCGCGCTTAATCCTCGATTCTTTAATCTCGAGCAATCTGAATAATGCTTAACAAAACCGTGTTAGGCAGCGAAGAAAGATAAACATGTGCCGATTTATATGCCCATAAATCGTCCGCTTGTTTCTCTGTATTCATTGATGTGATATGTAGCATAAATGTGCAGAGTAACGAATAAAAGAATAAATCACATAAAAAAAAAAAAAATAGGTGAAATTGAAATCGCAGCAGCAGTTAAGCTGAAAAATCAATAACTTCCTTAAAATAAAATAAAACCGACCAACTGGCTGTGTCAGAAATTCGCAAAAGTGTAATATACACATAAATATTATTTGGATTGGAAATTGTATTGTTTAAACAATAATTAATACTTCTTCGTGAAAAATAAATTGAAAAAGAAACAAATTTCGTTCGTTTGAGTCTTTAGACATAGAAAAAGTCAAATTTGAAAGTGCGTAATTCACCCAAAAATAGCATTTTCAAATTCGATTTGAAGCTAATTGTTCTTCTCGATACATATTTACAGCGGCATAAATGTTTGCGGTTCGCTACTATTTCTCCTATCTTTGTTCGCGGTTCTCTGCTGTTTCCTTGAGAACGCCGATGGTCATTTTCACTGAAAAATGAGCGTTTCTCGCGGCGAGCAGCCTTTCGTCGAATTGCACGTCGTAAATTAGGCCAAAGCATCGTAGAATTCCCGGGGAGAAATATACTTCGATTCAGGAGAAGCGTCTAGCGAAATCGTAGCGGTGTTCACGAGAGAAACCCATTACCTTCGGGCAACAAACTGTACAGAGCTACTCGAATTTTCTGCTTGATACTTCCGTATAAATGTTTCGAAATTCCAGGTACTTTCTTCATTAGGGACAAGCTTGAAATGTCCCGTTGTAATTTAAATTGCTGTACGTTCTTCACCAGAGAGGAGATTTCAGTTTTAGCATATCCACTTTTAACGTATTCCATCTGAACTCGTTTTCGAGATGTTCTAATTAATAGTTTTCTAGCTCCGAAGTTTGCAGAGTGATTTCACCCCCTAAACATTCACACTCGAGTCTCTTTTTTCGCGTATCTTTTTAACGCGGGTTTGAAGTTACTTGGCGCGCATATTTCATGCAAATTCGGGGTATAAGATACTCGAACTCGCGAATCGAATGAATTTAATTCGAACGCGACGACACTCAGCGCAACAAATTAACGCCGTAAGGACGATATTATAATGGACGATGTGAGATGGTGAAAAAGTTCTGAATATTGAGTTACTCTGTGAACTGTGCCATTTTCTGTGGAACTTATCTACCGTGTAAAAGAGATTCGACTGTGTTTATTAATAGTCAAACAAAAACGTGTGCCTAATATATTCGGATTCTCTAGCTGTCTGCAAAATTTCGTCGAAATCTGTTGAGCGATGTCCCTTGTTAGTGTGTTTTACAAGAAAAGCCATTGTATTCTAGCATTGACCCTTTGGCAGTCGAATAAAATTATGTATTACGGTCAGAAAAATTTATATTTAACAAGGGATACATACCCCTGTATCATAGTTATGACAATAATATCTCGTCGCTTTTGAACTTTCTTCTTAAGAGTCTCTCTTGAGCTAAACAGTTAGGTACTTGACGCTTTTGCTGAGTTTCGCTCAGGATAAACTGTCGAAGGGTTAAGAAAAGACACAATCATCATCGTAATTTAGTATGAACTACAAATTTTACACTACAATACAAAAAACTTTTAATTTATTTGAAACTCCTCAAAATACTCGAAATAGTACCCACCTGATAAATCCAAAAAATGAAGTAATTTCGACGTTCGTTCTTTTAAATATCTCGCCAGCACGAAACTATTATCTTGAAATGGCAATGCAGCTAACGGTGCGTTTGCGTTTCCGTTGACGAGGGGGGGTAATTTCCTCAACAATACACGCAGTCACGTAACTTCCAATCAGAATTTCCGAAAATTCGGTTCGACGGAACACTCGCACCGAGCAGCCGTGTTCAATTCCCTCCGGTTGCTGCCGCGCGATAACAACACGCTTCTGCAACTATTTGACCAAAAAGTTGATCGAGGCATCGTAAAGTGGAACGCAGCCTCTCTCAAATTGACAACGCGCACGTTCACGCCCCGGTGTACACGGTACATCTACCGAGCTCCTCTCCTATATTTGTCATCCTCGAACAATTCAGTCGGCTTATCCCCGTGCTAGCCGATTTTCTCCGCATTCTACGCCATCCTGGCACGCTTAGCGGGCAAGAATGCACGCGTGACAGAAATGCCGTGGTGGCGTCGCCCCGGGGCCACGCTAAGTATACACCGAAAGACACATAAATGCGAGGAGCTGCAAGAGACGATGAACAGCCAACGGGGGGAGTAGATCGAGAACGGAGTAGAGCACAGTTTAATGAAACTTTTATAGAAACTGTAGTGTAACGTTACTCGGCAACCTTAGCGATCTCTTTTGTTTTTCCTATTTATTAATTTCCCTTTTGTTACTTTTAGTACGTTGTACGACGATCCGCTGACTTGTACTACTTGCACGCCGGAAAATGTAGATGCTTCTCTGTGGATTTGGAGAATGAAAAGCCGGCGGAAAATTTATTTCCACGCATTTTCACGGGATTATTTTTTCTCTAATTCTCGGAAAATCACCGGAGATTCTTTTTTCAATCAGCTTGCACACTCGTCGTTTTTCATTATTCAGATGAATTTATTTGTACGCTCTGAATGACTTCGAAGTTGTAAATTTTTCAGGAAAAGCTGAGTATTTTAAATGAGAAAATATGAAAAGGGGGAAAGAGATGTTGAAATGAAGAATGTTACTGGAAAAGGGATGGTTTGTGAAATTAGCGGTTCGGCAAAATTCTCAAATAAATGACCTCATAATTAAACAACTATTTAAAAGTAAATTTAGCTATAACCTTACAGTCTTGTCTGTAGTCTGCGAATTTTTATGCGTTCATGGAAAATCTGAAGGCACAAAACTGCACAGAATGCACGCAATAAGCAAAAATATATAAATAAACCCAAAATACAGTACTCATTATAATAATAATTACTGAATAATATTAATAAAACTAAAAATCCGCAATCTACTTATCACACGTTGCTTATGAATTTAACCATCAATTTCCATTTCACTCTAAAACAGCAATTTTTCAATAACAAAGTTGAAAAAATTTCCTTACACTACACTTTTTTCCATCTATCTTCTAAACTCTGAATCTTAAAAGTACCTAACTGTTACGATCACTGCTAACCAAGCTTCACGCTTGGCCCGTAAGCTACGCTAACACACACACACACACACAAAACAAAGGGTTAACAAATAAATAGATAAGTAATCTCGGCGGTAAACGTGTGTGATTCGAGAGCCGGTTTGATGAAAAAATATTGTCTTCGGTTCACTTCGCAGTGTAATTCCCGGCTTACTGCTTGTTTCAGGGGAGCATCCTGCGGCGATGCAGCATGGGAATTCGAGCAACAGCGGCGCGGCAACGAGGACTCTCGCGTTGCTCCTGTTGCTTTTGCACGCCGGTTCGTTCGCGAGGTGACTGGTCGATCACGAAGCCTTCCAATAAGAACGCGAGCAAACACCATTCCTCCTTTACGTAATCGAACAAAGGCGAAACGGGATGGGAGGAGTAAAGGGAGCAAGAACGAGGAGGAAAGCGTCGTCTCTAGCAACAGCAATCACCTTGTGCCCCCTATATGTATATCACCCTCGATCTTGCTTTTAAGTAATCAGAAACGAGAGAGCAGCCAGGTCAGCGGCCATCAAAGAGACCTTCTAGCGAACACAAACTCGAGCATCTCTCGTCTCGGGTATCTAGTGACCCCCCCATGGACTCACTCCTGACTGCTTCTGCTCTCCGTAGATATCTTGATCGTTTTATCTGACGCGACGAATCACCTCTAACTCGGGAAGAAAAAAGAAACAGGAAAAAATTGGTAAATCTGCAGCAGTGTACCCAAGAGAAGCGATTCATCGATCGGAAGCTGGTGCTAGCTGCTTCCCTCTTTGTATCTGTAGATGTTTTTTCAAGTCAATCGCGACGACGACGCGAGTGAAACAGTTCTCCGATTAAGAGCCATTCGTTTGTGCGATGTAAGCTTCGCGATGAACTCTCGCGAACGTGGTTTGTTGTTCTTCCGTCTTCGACGAGGAAGGAGATGAAGACGAGCGGAGAGAAGAATCGGGTGAAATCTCGAAGAGGAGAGAACCCGACAACATGTAAATGGGTGTTTAGTATGATGCAGTTGGACTCGGTGCGATCCACGGAACGCTTAGCGTCCGCGATAATCAACGATCTGTGCGTCTCGTTCTCGTAATTAATGGATACTTCGGATGTCTGCCAATTTGGACGGTTGCCACGTTTTTTCTTCTCTCTTTTTGTTTTGGATTTTTTTTTTTTTTTTCGTTTTTTTGCTGACGTCCCCTGCTGTTAGTTCGCGAAACGAAACGGAACAATCGCGTGGCCTTTGGTCGTTCGATCTTAACAAGCGATACCGGAATTGTACTTTAAGGAGCATGACGAACAGCGTGAAGTGCTGTCAGGTGATCTCTGTAATTCGAACGATACTCGAAAAGGACGCGAAATCTACCTCGAAAATCGTTCTCGTACCGATCGATTCGTATCTCGTTAAATTTGCAGGGCAACAAAATCTACCCAGTCGAGAATGTTCGATGTATTCGTGTTGTAGTGAATTTTACCAGTGGAGGTACTGACGATATACCGGATTTTGTTCGTATTTGTGTTCGATGAGAGCTGGGTTGCAGTTGAGGGTGAAACTTAGGATTCAAGTGTCCATTCAAAAAGTAGAAATACTTGGAATTTATCATATTTACCAAAATTTAACGGTATTTTTCTTGAGTATATGTACTTTCGAAATGTGCAAGAAAAAGGGTTGAATATTTGAAAGCGTCACACTGGAATGACCCCTTAATCTGTCGGGCTATTTAATTGAAACGAAAATAATAGAGAAACAAGCAAATAATAAACGCTTTGGAAATGTAAGTTACATGAATACTTTCAAGTGGTACTATAGATTATAGAGTAGTAGGTATTTACTTATTTCAAACTTTTTTGAATAGTGCAATGATATTTTGGGTGAAGTGATTAATTGGCCATAATTATTGTCAGTTAATGAGGATAACACAGATGAAATTCATTGAGGAGAACACGAAAACTTTTGCTTTGCATTTATATATTTTTTATAACTATAGTTGCAGTTTACTGTAGAGTACAATTCTTATACGAGTGTTGAACGTGACTTCTTCGATTTCTTCTAAAATATACACAATAATATAAAGGTTCGTACTTATGTATATATTGTTATAAAGAACTTATCTTAAAATGTTGCAGACAACTTTTGTCTCGTTTTCCATTATAGAGATTTAGTAGTTTATCATATTTTTGACGAATTTTCAATTACATTTGCGATTATAAATTTATTGCTAGGGATTTAGTAATTTATCATATTTTTGAAAACTTTTCAATTATATTTACAATTCATTCCACCAATTCACAAAGTTGGAATATATCAATTTTATTAGAATTGAATAGTTAAACGTCAGAGACACGTGATTCTTTCTACAAATTAAGAAACATACTGTAACAATTTTTAAATCCACTGGCAATACGTTTGTACATCTGTAAATAACAAAAACTTGTTCGTACCATTATTTACATTTTATTTGCTATTTAAAATTTAGAAACTCTTAAAAATTTTTAAATATTCAAAGCTTTAAAAGACTGGGTAATCAAGAAAGAGGAATTTTACAATATACTTACACCTAAATAATTCCTAAACTGTGCATTGATTGGAGAATGTCAACTGCGTTTTCTTAAAAGAAAAGTTATACTTTTCTCTGGCAAAATTTAATAGAATGTTAATTTTTAAATAAGTAAATATTAACATATTGCTCCTAAATTCAATAATTAACGAGATATTTTGCTTCATTTGTCCATGTGTTTTTCTAATATCGAAATTATACAACTGTTGTATGTAACAATTTTTCAACCAATACGTAGTTTAAGAGTTATTCAGGTGTACGAGTTGAATGATTCCACATAGTCGGTTTTACAATACAGCCACACATTGAATTTTTTCGAAAGTTTTAATTAAAAACGTTTTCAACTACAAAACATTATTTTCATTATTTTCTGCGGTAGCTTTCCTATAAGCCTTTTTAATACTTCGATACTTCCACTAGTAACCGAATACTCAATTAGCACCGCGGTGTAAAAAATTTCCGCAGAAATTAAAACAAGCAATAATTTAAAATAGGAAAACTGATACGAGGTTCGGTATATTTTGGTCAAATTTAATCATACACCGAAATACTCCACGTTACTTAATAAAAAATTTACGTTTCCTTTATTTCCTGTGAATTATTCTTCACGGTAAACCGTCAAGTTTATCGATCGAATCACGCGCCAGAACGATATCTGAATCCGTGAAAATGAAATGTCCATCTCTGTCAATTTACCAAAACATATTGAACAGGAAGAAGAACCTCGAGGGCGAAAGCATAATTATCTAGACCATCTGCAGAAACGGGACACGCGATGAACGTCAAAGTTAACCAGGTTACCGGTTTTATAAATTTCCCTGTACCCCTATTGCCTCGGCCACGCCACATTTGCCGTACGAAATCACGCGATCGTCGCTTTTCGCAACGGGTAGATGGTTTTTTTTCTGATCGGCGACAAAGCACACATCAGCATCTACGGGGAAAGTTGCAGGCGTACCGCAGAGCGAGCGCTGTCGTGACAAAAGACGAGCTTTCATTGAGGGCCGCTTGTTCCGTGACAATTCCACATGCAGCCGCAATAATTTTCGCGATCAAACAGCACACACCGGCACCCGGCTTAATAGTATCGTCTGACAATGACGAACGAGCAACCTACGAAAGGACTAGAGAAATTAATAGGCGCTGGTTTACCACTGTTCTCTCCGTCGATTCGACGAGCATTGTTCCACGGATAACCGGGATATTTCGACGAATCAATTTAAGGTTTAAGAAAATCCGCGGACTCGATTTTTCCTCGTTTACAGGGGAAACGTGGAACGAGTTACGGTTACCATTACGCCTGGAATATGCTGCACGAACTTTCGCCACTGGGGCTGTTCGACGATTTATTAGATTAGGGTAGTTTCTGCATTCTAACCGGTGAGATTTCTTTTTTATTATTAAGCGTTGAAATGAATTCTTTGCGACTTTTGGGTATAACAAAAATTTTGTTTGAAAAGACTGAAAATAAGGAAATCTGTGGGAGAATATTAAATGGTACGGTCTAAAATTCTGTAAACAAAAAAATACAATTTTTCGTTACAATAGTGATTCGTGACTTTTGGGTACAGTGAAAGTTTTATTTAAAAAAAAATGAAGAGAGATTAAGAATCGAAATAATTTGCACTATTGTCGATGACCTTTTGCCATTCTTCTTGCAGCTTGCGAATACCATCGCGACAGAATCTTGGTGGCTTTGAATTAATTGTGTGAATCCAGTAGGAAGAAATTCTTTTCTACACGTTTTTTCTACTTAATTTATACGAAACAATGAATTCCTGGTGTCGGAGTGTATGCTGGGTGCAATGATCATGTTAGAAGAGACTTGTCGAGTAGGTTAGAGTGTAAATATCCGTTGATAGTAGTGTTGTTGAATAAAATCTGTGTATACATTACCGGCCAAAAGTTTCAAATCACCGAGCATTGCAATGTACACAAAAATCTCGAGAAAAAAGTCAGCGACTTTAAGAATTTTTCATCGCTCGAATCAATTGATATGAGACAAATTGAGAAAAGTAGAATTGCGATAAACTTCAGATCTATAAAAAATTAGCAGCAGATTTAATATTGATGAAAAGTGGGAGGTGATTCCAAACTTTTGGCCGGTAGTGTACATACATATACACGTACGGTGAGATTGTGAAAATTTCCTGGACAAAGTAAATTGTCCAATGCATAATTTCTTACGAAGTAGGGTTGAAAAGACAGTTTCAGTATTAAGTTTGACATGTTAATGTTCATTCGTTAAATCTGATTATTTGTGTATTCGTGAATTAGAAACAACACCAATGGTACTGTTTCGTTGAAAGTCGCATATATTGCAAGATAGAATAAAATAACGTTCCCTGTTCAAAAATTTCTGTTCAATCTACATAATTCACTTCAGATGCTTTAGATAACTTTCTATGATGTATCGCATTATTAGCAAACGAAGTTAACTGCCTACAATTTGAAAGACTGAGAAATGTTAATAATTCGCAAGATCATTTCGCTTAAAGCAACTGACAACACAAGTCGAATATAACAATAGTTATCGCAGAAAGTAGGATAGAACTCTGACTAACGAGACAAGCATAATACAGCACTGGACGTCGGAGCCCGTAGAAAGGGGTACTATCACACAGGGGAAGTGTAGAGTAGAACGTAGGCTGTTGTATCAAGTAGAATAGGGCATTGCTTGACGGACAAGTAAAATACGAGTGCACTTGAAGATAAAGGGAAATAGAACGGTGAAACCGTTTCCAACATTGCTCTCCT